ACAAAAGACCTCGGATAGCCAAACCAACCCTGAGCACTAAGAGCAATTCCGGGGGGATTACTATACCAAATTTCAAGCCGTATTACAGAGCTATAGTCATAAAAACAACATGGTACTGACACAAAAATAGACCCATAGACCAATGGAACAAAATTGAAGACCCAAATATGAGCAAATGCAAATTGCCACCTGATATTTGACAAAGGGGCCAAGAACATCAACTGGAGGAAAGACAGCATGTTTAGCAAATGGTGCTGGCAAAACTGGATCTCCACTTGTAGAAGAATGAAACTAAACCCTTATCTTTCACCGTGCACAAAAGTCCATTCCAAATGGCTCAAAGACCTCAATGTAAAACCTGAAACTCTGAAACTATTAGAAGAAAACATTGGGAAAAACCTACAAGATATAGGCATAGGAAAGGATTTTCTAAATCGGACAGCAATTGCTCAGGAAACAAGGGAAAGAATTAACAAATGGGACCTCATTAAACTAAAAAGCTTCTGTACATCAAAGGAGACAACCAAGGAAGCAAACAGAAAACCCACAGAATGGGAGAATATCATCACCAGAGACACATCTGACAGAGGTTTAATAACCAGAATTTATAACAGACTCATAAAACAGAGAACCAAGACAAGAAGCAACCCAATTGAAAGATGGGCTAAAGACCTGAACAGAGAGTTCTCAAAAGAAGAAGTAAAGATGCCTATGAAACATCTTAAAAGATGTTCAACATCATTAATAATTAGGGAAATGCAAATTAAAACCACTTTAAGATTTCATCTTACCCCAGGCAGACTGGCTAAGACCAAGAGAACAAATGATACCAAATATTGGAGAGGATGTGGGGAAAGGGGAACACTCATCCACTGCTGGTGGGGCTGCAAACTGGTTCAATGCAGAGGCAAGTGGATCTCTGTGAGTTCAAGGCCAGCCTGGTCTACATAGTGAGTTCCAGGACAGCTCGGGCTACAAGGAGACCCTGTCTGAAAAAAAAAGACAAAAACAAAAACAAAAACAAAAACTACAAACGAACCTACAATTTGACCCAGTTGTACCATTCCTTGGCCTATACCCAAAGAACTCATCCTACTGCAGAGACACATGTACATCCATGTTTGTTGCTGCTCTTTTCACAATAGCTAAGAGATGGAAGCAAAGTAAGTGTCCCTCAATTGGTGAGTGGATAATGAAAATGTGGTTCATTTATACGATGGAGTTTTACTCAGCAGTAAAGAAAGATGAAATCATGAAATTTGCAGGTAA